CCCCTGCGAGGCTGAGATGGCCGCTGCGAGGCTGAGACGGCCCCTGAGAGGCTGAGACGGCCCCTGCGAGGCTGAGACGGCCCCTGTGAGGCTGAGACGGCCCCTGCGAGGCTGAGACTGCCCCTGCGAGGCTGAGATGGCCGCTGCGAGGCTGAGACGGCCCCTGAGAGGCTGAGACGGCCCCTGCGAGGCTGAGACGGCCCCTGTGAGGCTGAGACGGCCCCTGCGAGGCTGAGACTGCCCCTGCGAGGCTGAGATGGCCGCTGCGAGGCTGAGACGGCCCCTGAGAGGCTGAGACGGCCCCTGCGAGGCTGAGACGGCCCCTGTGAGGCTGAGACGGCCCCTGCGAGGCTGAGACTGCCCCTGCGAGGCTGAGATGGCCGCTGCGAGGCTGAGACGGCCCCTGAGAGGCTGAGACGGCCCCTGCGAGGCTGAGACGGCCCCTGTGAGGCTGAGACGGCCCCTGCGAGGCTGAGACTGCCCCTGCGAGGCTGAGATGGCCGCTGCGAGGCTGAGACGGCCCCTGAGAGGCTGAGACGGCCCCTGCGAGGCTGAGATGGCCCCTGTGAGGCTGCGACGGTCCCTGGGAAGCCGAGAAAAATACCACATGATCCCACTCATTTATGGATACTAAAGACCATTATAAACTGATGAACAAAAATAGATACAGAGGCAGAGCAGCATTGGACAGACTGTCAAACTACAGTGGGAAGCCGGGGGAGGGTTGGGAGGTTGGTAAGAGATTAACCGAAGGACTTGTATGCATGCATATAAGAATAACCAATGGACACAAAACACTGGGGGGTAAAGGAGGCCAGGGAATGTCAAGGGGGGGGGGAAGGAGACATATGTAATAGTCTTTGTAATACTTTAAGAAATAAAACAAAATTAAATTTAAAAAATAAAATAAAATAAAGAGCCAGTAGGCAAAGCCCCAACCAACAGTTTTTTCCAGGCTGGGGAACAAGTGTCTGTCCATCATTCTGACCCACCTGGGTCAGTCCTGCACGCAGCAGGGCGATCTTTTCCAAATGCAGATCCATTTAGGCTGCTGTCCCCCACACTCTTACCCACTTGTCCACTTAAAACACTGAGGCTCCCAGTGCTCCCAGAATAAACACAAAACCTAGTGAGAGTCACCAGACCTTTCACCCCTGGCCCTGCCCACCTCTCCAGCCATCTCTTGCATGCACAGACACAGGTAGGAACACACACACACACACACACACACACACACTCACACACACACACACAGGCTCATGCACACATGCATGTACACCAGCACTCTGGCCCTGCCACCTGCCTTGTTGCACACCTGTCAGCCCCTGTGTCATGAATGGACTGTTTCATGTTTGCAACCAGCCCTTTCACCAGGACCAGAGAAGCAGAACTTCCTGTCCACCAACTGCTCCGAATGCCTGGAGAGGGGGCCTGGGAAGGGCGCTGACATTCATTTACTGAGCAGCTACTGTGTACCAGACCCCTTCTAAGCACTCTGTGGGGAAAAATGGGCTTAATTCATTTGGTTCCTGTCAAATGGTGTGGCAGAAAGGGCCACTGACTCCCTCTTCCCAATTAGCACCAGAGAAATCATTGAATGGGAGAGAGGCATGGGCTCCAGGGTGTAACGACAGGAGGCAGACCCTGCAGAGAGAGGGAGGGGGCGGCGAGGGTGCTGAGTGTATGCAGCACTAGAGGAGTGGGCACAGATGGAGATGAGCTTTTGTTGTTGTTCATCCTCACCCAAAGATATTTTTTGCATTAATTTTTAGAAAGAATCAATGGATTCTTTGGGGAAGAGGAGAGACAGAGAAACATAGATGTGCAAGAGACACATTGTTTGGTTGCCTCTGGCACGCGCCCCAATGGGGCTGAGGATAGAGCTTGCAACAGAGGTATGTACCCTTGACCAGAATTGAATCTGAGATCTGTCAGTCCCCAGGCCAATGCTCTAACCACTGAGCACCAGCTAGGGCAGAAGATGAGCTTTGTCATCTTGCCTCTCCCTTGCACAGCCCTGCATACTGGTCCGCAGGCCCTCTGGGCAGAAATCAGCCATGGCCCCACCAGTCGGCATGAGATGGGAGGTACCAAGGATGCAGGGGCAGGCCAGTGCCCCAGGCACCCCCACCCGCCTCCTGCTCCAAGCCCACAGACTGCGGGCTGCAGCTGGGAGTTCCTTCCCCCGAGGCGCTTCTCTCCAGGAGCGCAGGAGACTGTGGTCCAGGCAGGTGGGCAGCGACCAGAGCTCTCCACACTGAAGCTCCTCCAGCCTACGGGGCTCCAAATACTCATCCCCAGAAATCAAGGTGCGGGCAGGGTGGGCTCCTCCGGGGGCTGCAAGAGAAAATCAGCCCGGTCTCTCCCAGCTGCTGGTGTGGCCAGCTATCCTCGGCTCCTTGGCTTGGAAACTGACACACACACACACCCCACGCTGTCCCCATCGCACGGCCTTCTGCCTGGGAGTGAGTCGTTTTCCCTCTTATAGGAACACCCTACTGCAGTTGGGGCCCCTAATCCAAGCCCTCCTTTGAGCTTGATTACATGTGCACAGGCCCTTTCCGGAATAAGGTCACGGTCACTGCTCCCACAGGCATGGCCTCGGGACGCTGGTTCACCGGTGCATGACTCTCCGCGGAGGAGTGAATGGTGGAGCGCCCCCTGGGGAAGCACCACACGGCACTCAGAGACAGGGAGGCCGGGCGTGAGTGGAAACGTCTCAGAACACAAGCTGAGCGCGAAGATCCCCATCAGTACACAGAGGAGCAACAGGCCAGTTTCCTAGGGCATGCTCTCACCCGGTAAAGCGCCCGGTGAAGACTCCCGCCCTGCGACCAGCACGGCC